GTAGCTCCTTTAGCCCATTCTTTGAAATGAGTAGCGAAACTCACTCTATTAGTACCTCCCTTAGCACCAACATCCAGCATCCCCAAAAAGTGGAGATGGGAGAACAGGAAATAGGAAAGCAACATAGAAATAGAAGCAGCCATATTTCTACCAGTTAATCAGTTAGAATAATTAAATGCTTAACATCCTGTGTGCTTAGATTCTTATGTACTTAGATTCTTCTGTATTCTTCTGATGTTTTGTTTTCCTTATTTTTAGGATTATACTATCCATTTTAAGGAGAATTGTCTTAGATCAACTTTAGAACTAAGGGAAGCAAGGCAAGAGAACTGATCTTAGGTTTTGCTATTGAGTCTAATGGTGAAATTAGACTATTTGCCTGGTGTCTGTGTGTACCTGCGCAGCTCACAACTACCAGAAGAAAGCATGCCACTGACTCCATGCCATTGTAAAAGTATGACAGTGTATCTCATTTGGTCATTCTGCTAGCACTGGCTGGCAATCCTGCTATATTTCCCTACACATCATCTTTCTGCAACCACCATTATACCCCTCTCCTTGTCTATTCACCCTCAGACTATCATTTTTCTCATTTATTTTGAAAACAGCAATAATCAAACAAGCATTTTCCCATCTTTCTACTACTAAACTTACATGGAAACAGCTATGTAAACAGCTATGTCCCTGTGTTCCTACTCTTATCTACAACTGACTCTTCTGAATCCTATTCTCACATTCTCAGGGATTTTGCTTCTACAATAGTTCTCATAAGTCTTCATAGAAATATTTTCTTCTGTAATGGAACTTCAGAATGACTCACTCACTTAGGCAAATGTATGCCTTTGAATATGCTCCCACACACTTGACACATATATCCCTCAACCTATATAACTACTTCTTTGATTATTCCTATAGTTTTATGATCATCTATAGCTAGTAGTTCTCACTTTCTTACCACATTCTCTCCTCAAGCTCCATCTCTACATATCTAAATATAGCAGCCACATGTGTCTCATTTTATTTGAACACTTAGTAACAATCAAGACAATTGCTCAACTCCTTTTTTTAATTTTTATTTATTTTTTTAAGATTTATTTATTTTTATACAAGAACCGGGGTACAAGCCAGATGTGCGGGAGGGTGAGAGGATTCACTGGAGACAGAGGGGAGAACAGAACAGGCAGACTGAAGAAATACACTGCTGATGGGAGCAGCAGGCCAGACAGGAGAGGTCTGCTGCGCCATGTGGGATTCTCTCCAGGCTGGCCAGGATCAAACCCGTGCTGCAGAGGCTGCAGACAGCTTCACAGTGTGGTGCACAACCACCTGCGCCACTAGAGAGGCCCTCCTCTTTTTTAAAGTCAGACCACTGATATATCAGCTAGCTGTTGCTTCATGACCTATCACTCCAAAACTTGGTGACTTAAAATGCAGTTTATGATTGCTCGTGGATCTGTGGAACTTCTGGGTGGTTTATATAGTCTCTTCTCACTCTTGTTTATCGCCAGTTGCAGGTAATGTGATTGCAGATCATGTCAGGGCCAAGATGGTTCTGGGTGGCCTCGTCTGAGATATTTCAGAATAGGCATATTTGTATATTCTGAACAATTCTGTTATGTTAGCTTTGCTTTTCTAAAACAATGCTGAATTATGATGGCATTTCTTGACTCTGTGTGTCTGTGTGGTAACATAGAGGGGGGAATATGAAACCTGATTCCTCTAAAGTTCTGTAAGTTATATGTGCTGTTTTCAGGTACAATGGAAATGGATAAGAATTTAATGGAGTCATTTTTTCATTGTTAGTTTCTGATTGTGCAAAAAAATGAAAACAAGAATAGAGGAGGGTTAAAAACATCCTTAGGTTATTTCATTTCTGCCTGAAGACCTGTGTGAACAGAAAAAGCTTTTTAGGATAAAAACTTGTGCAAAGAAGTCAACTTTTTGTGACTGAGAAAGCTATAAATGATAAGTGAGTTATCTCTGAGTCCTGTAAAACCTTTCTCACATATGAGTGAAGCAAAACCTGGCAGCTCCACCATCTGTGATGGTGTGAGTTCTTGGAAAATGACTCATTCACTTAGGCAAATGCATGAAATCATATTTGAATGTAAAAAATATGAGAACTACAGAGAATCAAGGATGCTGGATCAGCACATACTCCTGCCAATATAGTGTTTAGAATAGAGGTGAAGTCATTGAAAAATTTACCAATTCTACTGAAGCAGAGAGAAGACTCTAAGTAGTAAATGCTGCTCTTTGATATCAGTCTGAGTTAGTATGTAGAATTAAAGGTTGAAAGGCATCTAGAGATCATAGAGTTCAACATCACTTTGTCTATCAAAACATTTAAAAGAAGAATATGAGGCCCCGAAAAGTTGTGTGAATAGTCAATGGGACATGAAGAGTTTGGGGCACAGTCAGCACCAGACACAAAGGCTGTTGACCCCCCATCTTCATCACTGTCTTCTGGGTGTGGCAGCTACTTCATTGTTGAGAAAAAAATAATCCTGAACTGATTTTAGCTATCCCATCTCATTCGCAGGCGCAGGAGTTTATTATTATCTTGGGTTTATTATTATCTTGTGTTGAGTGTCCCAACACAGTATAGTTAAGCTTTTTACATTCAGAAAATTTGACATCTTGGTGATTTTTAATATATCTTAACAATACACAACTGAGTATTGGAATTCTCCAGACCCTCAAATTTTCAGAGGCCTCATATTCTCCAAATCAGTGTTAAAGTAGAAATTTTCCATAGCAGTTCTCATTTTAGGGAGGTGACTTTACTTGATGCCTTTACCTTGGCCACTCCCTTCCCCAAATTGAAGTACTCCTTGGAAAGGCTGTTACCCTTCTGGTGATTAGTTGGGAAATTGTCTTTCTGTAAATGGAGACACCTGCCACTAAAGTCCATTAACTTGTTTGGTTTTCCCTGACCCCAAACTTGGGAAAATATAGAAACAAATGGAATTCAAATTTTCTTCCATTTACCTATTGTAATAGTAAAATTGAATATTTCTTTTTCTTTTTGGTGGGACCCTCAAAGGCAGCTGGGGAATGAACAGGAGCTGCAGAGGCTGCAGGCAGCCTCGCAGCCCAGCGCTCAACTGCTGCACCCTAAAATTGAATATTTCTAAGATGTAAAACTATGTGGTAAAATTTTAGCTTCATTCACTAAAGAGAAACAATGATGTTAGTAATCTAAAACATGATCAATTAGAATCATTTTCATGTTTTATATTTGGAATTGAATATATGAATAGTTTGGTAACAATATTTACTAATTAAACTTTGTCCGGACTAGAATTAAACTTTTTCTGCATATATTATTGGCAAATCCCCTGGGTTCTTATTGGTGTAAATAAAGAATCCTTTCTGGGATGTAGCATCATCAGAAATGAAGCATGGGGATAAAAATGTATACATTGTACAAAAATGAAAAATGATGCAAAAATATATAAAATAAGCAGCCCACAGCCTCTGCAGCACCAGTTCGGTCCCTGGCTGCTGGTGAGGGTCCCACATGGCCCGCAGACCTCTCCTGCCATGCCCGCTGCTCCCCTCAGCAGTGTATTTTGTCAGTCTGCCTGTTCTGTTCCCCGCTTTGGCTCTGGTGAATTCTCTCACCCTCCCGTGCTTCTGACTGTGCCCAGTGCTTGTATAAATAAATAAATAAAATCTTTAAAAATATATAATATAAAATAAAATAAAATAATAAAAAAACGAAATGAAGAGCAGAGATATTGAAACCGTAATGATAGATTGGATGACAGTATCTCCACTGTTACTCAAGCAACTCTGGGCAAGTTCTTAAATCTGCTTTCCCACTTTGTAAAATGGGACTGTTTTACACTTGCCACCATAGGATTGAGATAATTTATACACTACATTTACAAAGAACCCAGTACTTAACAAGAATTTACCCATTACTGTCTAGACCACTGATCCTGGCATATTGTTTTTGTTTGGGGGAGGTAGGCTGCTACAACACAGGATCAGATAGGGTGGCCTCTAAATAACAGAAATTTATTTTTTCACAATCTTAAAGGCTGGAAGTCTGAAACCAGGTGCCAGCATGGTTAGGCTCTGGTGAGAGCCTTCTTTTTGGTGGCACGCTGCCAATTTCTCACAAGGTAGAAAGAAAGAGAGCTAGCTCTCAGTCCTCTCTAAAGAAGAACATTAATCTCATTCATGAGCCCTCTACCCTCATGACTTAATTTTCCCCCATAGGCCCCACCTCCAAATACCATGACATTGGGGATTAGATTTCCCCCTGTGAATTTTGGTTGTACACAAATATTCAGTTCATAACACATACTAACCTACTATGTCTCCTAGAAGAGTTGTTTTTTCCTTTTAAGCTTAAACATATATGCTAGCAATTCATTAAATTATCTTTTGTTTCTTTTTTTTTTTTAATTAATCTTGAAGAAAAAGAAAATCTGGTTAGTTGAAGATTAGTTTTTCAAAAAAAGATAGCTATGTTCTCTCTCTCTCTCTCTCTCTCTATCTATCTATCTACTATCCTATCATTTATTATCTATATAGTTCTTAGTATTCTGCTTTGAACTAGAAGTAACATCTATTGGCTTCCTCACTGATTAAGGAGTCAAATAAAACCTTTGACATATGTTCATTTTATATTTGTGTGATGGTCATGATTATATCTTCCTTTAAAACTATCTCTTAACAATTGCAACTAAGAACACATTTTCTAAATTATGAAAGGAGAAGAAATGAGTAAAATTCATACCCAATAAAATATGATTGGGTTTTTGTTTTTCTGTCAAGTCTGAAAAATTATTACTGTGCTTTCTTGACTTGCTCCAAGTTAAATAATACAGTCATGCCTAAGATCAGGAAAGAAATAATTTTTTGATTACTTGTTTTTAAAATCAGTGCCCATGTATAAATTATGTCGCATTGAAGTCTGTAGACATGTAGTACATTTTAAATGGACATTTCAAACTTCTGAATATAAACATGAAGCCATAATCAATCAGGTGACATGCATACACCATTTATTGAATAGCAGGTTGCACATTTAGTTGGTAGCTCTGTAGTTCACATGGATTTCTGGTTTCACATCACAGACAACATTCAAAAGCTGTTTCATCACACTTTCCATGTACTTGTTGTAGCTTCCATTCAGTTCTTTTATCTTCCCTAGGGTTTGTTCTTCTATTTCTTCTGAGAGGTTACTCTGAGAACCCATTATCTACCAAAATAAAACAGATTCACTTACAGATCACATTAAAATGTAATTGTTGTGGAAGTTAAATTTGTCATGGTCTCTTTATCAATGACTGTTTTGTATTCTGTATACTATATTTCATTTTTCTAGAATTTTCTTAGATGGTGGATAAGAAAACTATTAGCATGAGTGCGGAGAGGGGAAAAACTTTTCTAAAAACTAAAGCTGGCATGGGATGTTACTTCCACATCTAGGTTGATCAGCTCATGGTACAAATTCAGTGCAAGTTCACAATCACTATATACAATGTCAGAAATTTTTCATCACATTGTCATGTTTTTATAATAGTTTCCACTCAGTCTTTCCTATTGCTTACTTTATGAATGAAAAGTCTGAAAAATAAAATCAAAAGATAGCATTAAATGATTGTGGCTAGCTTTTAAAAAGCAAATAACTGCTTTGTCAATTTTTAAAATGCATTATCTGCATTGGTTAAGTCTTGTGCTTCAGAAGATGGAGCCACAATATTGCCCATAAAATACTTTCATATTGTAGACACAGATTTTGGATGATAGGTAAGCATTAAGATTTTTTTGTGTAAATTAAATGTATTACAGATTGAAGCCTGCTTATTCATTTAGTTACATTAAGTTTTAGACACAGTTTAATACATCTTTCTGATTACTTTGGCAGTGATTCCCAGAGTTTCCTTTTATCTCTTCTATCAAGGAATGATTTAGCAAAATAGATTCCACCAAGAGAGTACTCAGTGTAAAGGGATTCTGCAGTGAAAGCCTTTGTGAAATGATTCTTTGGTAAAGCAAGCAACTCCTAATCCATGTCCTTTGTACACAGCATTTCTGAAGCAGGCCATTGTTAAGCATGTTTTGTTTCCTTATCTTGTTACTGAGTACTTAGGGAAGATATGCATTTTATTTAATCCAAGAAACTCCACTAATGATTGAATTCTACTTTAGGGTTGTTAAACCATTCTGCATAGTTTTTCTGAGTTTTAAACTTGAAATTAAATGTGGTTGAGGCTGTATCAGGTTCAAGTTTTTTTCTGTTTACAGTCCAGGCAGCAGGGGCTTCCCAAAAAGATAATTGTTTTGAAGAGATATATCTTTTAAGGCATCAAATAACTTCATAAAATACTATTCTGATAAATGAGCATGTAAAAAGGAAAGACCTATGGACTAAATTTACTTTGCTAAGTCTAAAAATAGAAGGAAACTACTTACCACAAGAGTTGTTCCAAAATCAATTTTTTTCACTCTAAATCTAATATCTTAAGTCAAATTCTACCAAATTGAAAAATAAATTTAAATCCAGTATCTTGAATGGTGAAATATTTAGAAGGCAAACTTTTATAAAACTATTATCTATTTTTTCTTTGGAGTATTGTTAAAAATAGTTATTATTAGGCTGCATTAATACCAATATCCTGTAGGATTTTGGAAGAGTTCATCTTACCTTAGCTTTTTGATTTTTTTAAATGGGGATAGCATCATCCATTTGGAAAATGTCAACCAGATTCATGAATACCAAGTACACAGAGCACTGCTGTCTAATAGACATGTAATGTGAAGCACAAAGCAAGTCATATAAGTAATTTAAAACTATCCAGAGTCACATTGAAAGAGTAAAAATAGGGGCCTTCCTGGTGGTGCAGCGGTTGAGCGCTGGGTTGTGAAGCTGCCCGCAGCCTCTGCAGCGCCAGCTCGATCCCCGGTTGCCGGGCTAGGGTCCCACATGGCACGCAGACCTCTCCTGCCGCTCCCGCTGGTCCCCTCAGCAGTGTACTTTGTCAGTCTGCCTGTTCTGCTCTCTGCTCTGGCTCGGGTGAATTCTCTTAACCTCCCGCACTTCTGACTGTACCCAGTGCTTGTATAAATAAATAAAATAAATCTTTAATAAAAAGAGTAAAAATAGGTAAAATTAATTTTAATCATATAGTTTCTTTAACTCAAACTATCCATAATACTATAATTTTGATGTACAGTGAACATACTATTATTGTATTATTGTTTTTCATACTAAGTCTTTATAATTTAGTCTGTATTTTGCACTTATGGAATATCTTAACTTGGATTAGCTACTTTTCAAGTACTCAGTAGCCACATGTGAAGTGGCCACCATATGTAACAAGGCAGGTATAGGGCAACAGATGACAGCTTTTCCTATTAGCTGAGCTCCTAATGTGCTCTGTTAAGACAACATAATTTTCTGAAGATATTTATAATAAAGATGCTACTTAGCATTATTGATTATTAATATGATTTTTTCTCTGTTCCTTATACTTTTTAATTTTTCTAAACCCTCTTGCACTTTCAGAAACATTGGAATACCATTGTAAACAGCCCATTATCCTATATTTCATCTGGAATAATTAAATGTACTATTTCTGAATTTGCCCAATGTGCAGTAATTGAGTTTCTACAGCACTTCCTAGACAGTACTATGCTGACTAATCTTACACTATTTTAAATGGCCTTTATATCTGCAGGGAGAGTCAGGTAGGAGCTAAATGAATGAAAGTTCTGCAAAAGCAGAGATGAGTGTTATCTTGTTTTGCTGATGTATTGTAAGTGCTTTAAACATCAGCTGGTCATGGTATGTTGGCAACATATTTGTTGAACTCAATGGAATGATGAGATCTCCAGTATTAAAAGCTTATTACTTGAGTTGTGTTGCTCTTGTTGGCAGTGGCTTGCTTCCTGAATGTTTGGGACACTATATAAATTAGAAGTTGATAATTCTGAGCAAAACAACGATGCATGTGATCAAGGACTGCCATATTGGGACTACTCCATGTTACCTTACAAAATTTCAATGTTATCACTAATGTGTGTAGCTCTAGATTATAATGGTATGATGATGAAATCTGTCACTGTTCAATACATTTTTATAGGATGATCAAATGTTACAGTTTAAAGGAAAGTAAAGGTTTTTTTAGGTCCCACTGTGTCATAAGCAAAGCACAGTTTTACATCCTCAATTTGTGAATCTGTAAGATAACAAGGTGCTTTCATAAATAGGAATTCAGGCAGAAAGATCAAAGATATAAAAATCTTCATTATGTCCAAGGCAACCATTTTCAAGTCTTTGGTTTAGATTCATTGACTATCTAACTTACTTGCATAAGCAATAGATTTAATTCTCCCACTGCAGTCCAGATTTCTTTCCAATGATATAGTAGTTTCTTCAGTAGAAGATATTATTTAGGGTAATGATGATCATCAAGGGATAAGCAAATATTTGCTAAAACATTATTTGTTGCTATACTACCCTCATCGGGATACCTGCTTCTATTGATAAATCAGCAGATTTGAAAAAACACATACATTAATAAGAACTAAAAAGCAACAAAAAGTAACACTGTGGTGTAACTCCCACAGCAGGCAGAAAAATGACTTCTTGGTTTTCTTCTAGATCTCCTACTTGTCCTGGGTTAATGATGATGAGATTTAACTGGAATAGTAATATGTCTGAGACATGGAGGTCATGCCAAGGAAAGAAGATCTGGCTAATGGTTATACAATATTCTTGAAGTAGTGGAGACCTAAAGATGTTGACCTTTCCATGTGAGCTTTAAATCAACTAGCTGTAAAATTGGCTCAGAGCCCTAATTATGCGAATGATGAAGAGTTTTAATTATTCTCCAAAGCAGAGAAGAAATATCCTGAACATGATTTACATCTTATGAATTCTTCTGGAGAAACAATGTTTCAATTTAACTCAACCATTTCCTAAAATTTTGATCATTTTGTTAATACTTAAAAAATAGTAAAAAATATATCCAAAATATCCTACATAGGATAATAAAAGCTAATTGGTGTTAAGAATGATTTTCTCAGGTCCTAATATGTCATAATTATGATTGGACTCAGTGGTAAAAATAAAGGCACAGAAGAAATGCTTAATCATTCATTCTTTTTTTAAGAGGTATGTATTATTTATGTATTTATTTGTTTGTTTGTTTGTTTATACATGCACTGGGTACAGTCAGAAGTGCTTTTTTGTGCGGGAGGGTAAGAGAATTCACCAGAGCCAGAGCAGAGAGCAGAACAGGCAGAAGGACCGAAGTACACTGCTGAGGGGAGCAGCGGGCGGCAGGAGAGGTCTGTGAGCCATGTGGGACCCTCCTCCTGTGGCCAGAGAGCAGCCGGGGATCCAGCTGGGGATCTAACCGCCGCGCCGCAGAGGCTGGGGGCAGCTTCGCAACCCAGCCCTCAACCGCTGCGCCACCGGGGAGGCCCTTAATTATTCATTCTTTCAATGAATATGTATTCTATACTTACTATGGAGCAGACATTATTCCAGTGTAGAGTAAAATAATGCAGACCAAAATGAAAAAGAACCTACCATTTGGTGCATATGGAAAAACAAGGAATAAGTAAAAATATGTAATTGTATTAAATATCAAGTAGTGATAACTGTATGATATAATGGGAAATTATTTTTTTTGGTCTCACTCATAACAGGATTCTAGAAAACTTAAATAAGGGACCAGGAAAAAGAATAACTATAAGAAAGAAAATATCAAAATCAACAAATAACTATGAACAAGAGACACTCTATGGGGGGTGGGGGGTGGGGAAAGGAGGGCTTGGGGTAAAAATAAGGGGGTTGTAATTGTATGGGGAATATAAAAATAAAATTTAAATTAAAATAAATAAATAAATTTGAAAAAAAATTACTTTTTATAAATGGGAAAGACAAAATTTTAGATAATAGAGGAACTGTGGAATAGCAATTGAGTGGCAGATATAAAAATAAAAGGCAGCTATAGCATATGCAAGGATCCTGTGGTAGTGACATGTTCAGTCTGTTTTAGCAAAAAACAGGGAAACTAATGTGGCTAAACTAGAATAAGAAGTAACAAAGAAAATAGACATTACTACAAAAACCAAAGTACTTATCAATGCATATTAATGTATATTGCTATAAAGTCTGATATTTTGTTATGATATCCTTTTCAATTCACTGGCTTCATTTAATAAATCTTTTATAAAAACATAGAAATGCTTCCTCCTGCACTATTTTAAAAATATCTGCAGTTAATAGGAAAAGTAAATGCGTGAAATTTTCAGAGCTGACAGACTGGGGACATAGCTGGCATCCAGTCATGGAAGCCTGTATTATATGTATGGATTTAGGATTTTATAATACCTTTTTCCAAATATTGATAAGAAGAATTTGTTTTTACTGAGTGGCTGACTTTATTATAGGCATTACTTATTTTATTTTAAAAATCCTCCTACTCCGTGGAAAAGATTTTCCTACCATGGGGTCCAATTTACCTGATCCTGTATCAGCTCTGCAGCTACTCCCACTAAAAGCTGTAAACAGAAATTTCTAAACTGCTTGTACCTTATTTTGCAATATCAGGCTTTTGCACAGAGCTCTATATTTTTACTGAGGCAAAAAGAAAATACCATATAAACTTTACTTATGACACATGGAATTTAATCATTTCTTCAGGTTCATGTTGTAAAATGGAAAGGAGAATATCAGTTTGAAAATTTCATGTATTTATTTTTTCTATAAGCTGCAGATATTTTAAAATGCTAGTGTGGGCAAAAACACTTCTTTATATTTTTCTGAAAGATTTATTGAATGACACCAGAGAGTTGAAGAACAGCTTATAAGGAAATACCAAATTTTTCAGCAATATATAGCAATATCTACTTTGGTCAATGGGAAATTCTTGATTTCACAAAGAAATCTGGCCTGATGCACTCATTCTATAACAGTGTGCAACACTTTTTACTGATTGCCTTAGTAAACATTAATAGAAAAAAAATGTCTTGAAATTTTTTTCTTGCTGGAATGTGTTAGTCAACAATCTTTTGAAGGAACTTCAACTGATCCCTTCAATTTCTATAGTTGAGGACATGATTTTTAATTTTTTTTTATTTTCAAGTTTGGGTTACATTTTTGCTCCTCCACATGTGCACATGTTCAACTCATCCACTCCTCATACCCCTCTACTTTCTCCCAGCCTCTTCTCCCTCTCCCCTCCATCTGATAACCATTAAATTCCTTCACTAAGTAGTTTATAACAATATATTAGATAATAACTGTTGATGGGTATTTTGTATGACAAAACAAAAAGTATTGAAATTGAAGATGTCAAATCAGTGATTCTATATATTCAAGGTTTCATTTGATATTTAGCCTTGGTTGAATTGTAGCTGTTCAATCTAGTATTACCAGCCCCCCCCAACTGTACCCTCTGAATATTAACATTTTATAATTTATGCTGCATGAAAAGCATAGTTATATCCTGACTTTCTGATTTACCTTAGATTGTTTCAGTCGAAACTCCTTATCTTTCTGCATTCTGTATTGGTCGATTTCTGCCATTGCTTCTTCCTTTGCTTGCTTCAATCGTTTCACTTTTCCTAAAAATTAACAGTAGTATAGCAGGGATAGTTCTTTTTAATATATATGGAATTTCAGATTTGATTTTAAAAAACATAGGTGAGGACTACAATATTTTCTCAATCTTTTTTTCTGGAGTGGCAAGCTTCATTAAAAAAAAAAACAGTACTCTAAAATTCCTTATTTTTTTTTCAATTAGATTCCTTCGGACATGGAAATGGCAACTTTATTTCACACTTCCATGTTTAAATAAAATATCTGTCTATTTATGCACAGCAGTAACAGCCAAAGAACAGATTTTAGCTGTCACTTCCTCGCAAAGACATTATTTGGTCAAATTTTCTGTCCTGATTTGCTGCCAGGAATCCTTCAGTCCACACCAACTGGATCCTATTTAACACTGGCAGATCTCCAAAGGCGCTACAAACATGCAACTCAGACTCTATCAAACTGACCTACAATTTTTTAAAGTATTTTATTGGGATTTTTTTCTTACCATTTGTTGACTCTAGAATGTCTGATTAAGCCCCACAGCACATCAAAGTAGATATTTTTTTGTAGCAGCTTTCTCTGAGGGGGACTTGAAAGTGGTTGTAAAACCAATTGTTTTTAATGGTTAGGAGATTTAGTTAAGTAGCTCTCTTTTCTTTTATTAAGAGCAAAGGTGTAAGCCTTAAGCCAGCAGACAGCAATGTAGATGAAAGTTTTAGACAAGTACAATGTTGTGGGGATCATTAGCTAAGCACATGACATTTTTGACAACCAGAGTAAGTTTGGGGGGTTATAGACTAACAATAATTGCTGCTATGCCTCCACAACCCATCACCTTGGGTTGGGGGTAGTTAGGAACTCAAACTTGGCAATAATTAAACTTTAGAAACACTTAGCCATATTAAATTTTCTTTTTCTCTAAATCTATTGTCTTTCAATTTTAGTTGAATGCCTTCATTGTCTTGCCCATTTGAGTTTCTTTTCTCTGACATGTCAAACTTGTGATGATAATTTTTTGCAATGGTTGTTTATATTGTGCAGATTTTGAGCTAAAGTGTGCTCTCATTAAGTAAGCAAATCTTAACATGGCTTTTATGTCTCTGGCATCTATGTTTTTATTAAATACCTTCATAGCATTTGCATGAAGATGATATCTAAATTTCTCTCCTGCTAAGTCTGAGTTGCTTAGCTAGCTTCTCTATATTTCAATATGGAATCAAGACAGAGTCACTGACTAACAAACTGAAATATATCTCTCTTAATGCCTATTACCCTTGAAAGTAACTGAAAAAATCTCATTCAGAGTAGATAATTAGTTCTGTCTTTGCTCCTTTAAAATCCAAGGTCTGGTGAAAATTAACACCCTCCTGATGCTCGCATCTTCATGGAACATTAACAGCAATGCTTACCATTTTCTGACTTAATTAATGCTCATTACTATTTTGTATATACTGATTGCTTCATTCTCTAAAGTTATAACCATTTGTGGCAACCAAGTACATACTATTCACAGAACAAATTGATACATTGGTAGGGAAAAAATACTCCAATTTCTTATCACTGCTTGTCTTTAACATTAGAACAAAAACATGTTTAAGATCTATCAACTTTTTTTTTTAGTACTAGTGGGTTATAGGACACATAATTATTTTATAAAGTAAATCACATAGAACAGCATTACTTTCCACCCTAATTACATAGTATGTAACAAGATTGCTTTCAAAGTCATGACTCTAGCACATAAAAAAAAAATAATAATAATAGAAAAAGCTCTGTATGCCCTAGCCCTGAGCAGAATCCAGTACTCCACTAAGAGGCTGTATATTAGCTCTATCACACAGTGACAGGCTCAGAGTGTGTCTGTGATTCTCCCGTCATGGCACCAGTCACCTGCTGGTTCTCATTCAATTAAATAGGAGAGCCACAGGGAAATCGCTGCTGGCACAGCAATTTTCTGGATAGACTCAGCAGCTGCCTCTGTGTGAGAGCCTGCATATGCTACACCTGATTTAATCCAGTGGCAGAAACTGGAGCCTAAAGCCTGCTGTTTTGCTAGAGGTGAAGCAAAATGCATGCATCAAATCCACTGGTATTAACCTCTAGCTTGCTTCTCTGTGTGTGAAAGTTTCTGAATTTTAAAATTTTATTTCTCTCTTTTTGAGCTTAAAAAACATAGGTATTTTGAACCAAAAGGGTTAACATTCTTTTTTTGCAATACTTTCTATATCAAACATGGGGTGACCATATAGGACAGTCAAGATTTTCATTATGACTAGCAAATATTTGATCCTTAATTTCCTACAAGTTTATACAGGCTTATCAGGCTGAATGTTCTGTTTTTGCTTTAGAAAATGTGGTTATCTCATGCATCATGGTTTTAAATACTGCTAAAGCAGTTGCTGCAGAGTAATACAGCAACTGCTTTACAGTATGGTCTTCATCTATTCATTCAACATTCATCCAATATTTATTGAACACCTACTATATTTAGTGCGTAGGACTAGACATAGAGGATAAAGAAATAATATCACATGGTCTTTGCCTCCAGAGGACATCAGCAGAGTATTTCAAAAATGTGTATATGCTCTTCTGACTTCCAAGTGGAAAATTATAAAATACATAAATTGTGAATATACAAATAAATTGTGAAAACACTAGACGGTGAATCACTATTCTGTTTGTTCTGTGACAAAAATCACACTTGTGAAAATGTCTAAGGAAATTCTAGAGAATCTGTTTCCCCCTCCATCCCAATAGTCATACCTTGTCTTCTACTAGCAGATTAAGTCAAAAATATAAACAATTAGACCCAGACATGTGGAGTGGGACCTCAAAGACTACCAGAGCTAGTTAGGAAAGACATGTGAGGAGAAATCAGTGAGGCAAATAGACTTTATAGTCAGGATAGCAAAAAGAATGAACAGTCCATTTGAGAGATCAGAAAAAAGGCAAGAATATCTTTTTTAAGATATTTTTGTAAATGACTACACTTCAATAAAGTCATTCCCTTTTTTATACATATGACTTATTATGCAGATTCTATATTCAACAAGCCATTATTGAGACATAGTCCATAGGATGTTTGTTCAGGAGTAAAGAGAAAGATATTATTTAGATTGATATCCAAGGGGTTTATGGGGAAAAGATTTAAAAAATCTATTTTTTTAAAAGATTTATTTATTTATTTATACAAGCACTGGGTACAGTCAGAAGCACGGGAGGGTGAGAGAATTCACTAGAGCCAGAGCAGGGAGCAGAGCAGGCAGAAGGACCAAAGTACACTGCTGAGGGGAGCAGTGGGCGGCAGGAGAGGTCTGCTGTGCCATGTGGGACCCTCGCTGGTGGCCGGGGATTGAACCGGCGTTGCAGAGGCTGCAGGCAGCCTCGCATCCCAGCACTCAACTGCTGCGCCACCAGGGGAGGCCCTGAAAAATCTATTTTCGGCAATTAAAAAACAAATTCTGCATAGAATACAGAGGGCAGTGTTCAAAGATGGATTCTTCCTGGCTTCTTGACCAGGAGACCTAAGTGAACTGAGTTTTCCAAGGCTCAGAGAACTCCATTCTGTAGGTTCTATAACTTTTTCTGATGGGGAAGATGAGATTTTATTTGTAGTCTCAGAAAGGAATCAGTGTCATACACTAGGCATCCCTACAAAAGGATTTTAGAATCTTTGTGGTTCTAAGCAGGTTATTTAGGTGTTCAGAGTCAGTTTTTCTTTAAAACAGATTAATAATCTACTGCAAAGACTCAGAATAAATAGGAAAAAATTTATGAATTTTATTTGACAAAGAATGTTTAAGAATTTCTAATCATTATTAAGAAAACAGGTCCAGGGCCTCCCTGGTGACTAGGGGTTAAGTCTCAGCACTATGACCACTGTGGTCTAAGTTCAATCCCTGGCCAGGGATCTGACCCACATTTTGCACAGCAGACCTCTCGTCTTGCCTGCTGCTCTCCTTAGTAGTATATTTCAGTAAATCCACCGGGACTGCTCCCCCATCTGTCTCTGGTGAGTTGTCCTCTCCTCTCCCCACCTCATCACCCTCCCGCCCCACTCCCCGCACCTCTAGCCTTTACCCAAGTTCTTTGGTGGAGCTGTAGGGAAAGGAGTCTGACTGACGTGGGCTCAGTAGAAATGGAATGAAAAATGTAGACATAGGGAATACAGGCAATTTCTTTGAGAAGTTTTCACCCACAAAGGAGGGTGAAGAAAATAGAACCAGTGGATCTGACAATTACAAGATATTGAATGCTAAACTGTGTCTTTAGAAAAGATAGGTTTAGGGCCTCCCCGGTGGCGCAGCGGTTGAGCGCTGGGTTGCGAAGCTGCCCGCAGCCTCTGAAGCGCCGGTTCGCTGCTCCCCGGCCACAGGAGGAGGGTCCCACATGGCGCGCAGACCTCTCCTGCCGCCCGCTGCTCCCCTCAGCAGTGTGCTTCGGTCATTCTGCCTACTCTGCTCCCCGCTCTGGCTCTGGTGAATTCTCTCACCCTCCGGTGCTTCTGACTGTACCCAGTGCTTGTATAAATAAATAAAAATAAATCTTAAAAAAAAAAAAATTGCTTAAGTGGAAAAAAAAAGTATTTTTTTTTTTAAAGAAAAGATAGGTTTAAATCCTAACCCCTCAGACTTGTGAATGTGACCTTATTTGGAAATAGTGTCTTTGCAGATATAATTAAGATGATGTCATATGGATTAAGATGGGCCCTAAATTGATGAGTGTGGTCTTTATAAGGGCTGGAAGATTTTGATACAAAGACTTAGAGACACAGAACAGACACACAAGGAAGAAGGCCATGTGATCACAGCAGCAGAGATAAGAATGATGCAGGTCCAAGGCAAAGAAGCCACCCATTGCTGGCAACCACCAGAAGCCAATAGAGAGGCAGGAACAGATTATCCCTCAGTGCCTCCAGAAGGAAGCAGCCCAGTGGACACATTGTGTTTTAAATTTCTTACCTCCGGAAATCATATGATAATACATTTCTGTGGTTTTAAACCACTCTGTTTATGATAATTTGTTGCAG